ATATGGGATGACCAGAATTTAATTCTGAACAACTTTAATTAAAAGCTCAAGAACAAAAAATCATCTCAGTATTTAACTAATTGGCTATGAATGATCGTAGCCGTTCGTAGTCGAACCCATCCCTAATTCCGAGCAAAAAGTCGCGAAAACATTAAAATTTACTGTTCGTACCATAATCCTGTTCGTTCCATTCGAACGGGCAAATATGGTTCTCCCAGACCTTCCCAGATTTAGCAAAATCTAAATATCCTTTTGTCCCCTTCTCTAATTTTGAGAAAGAGGGAGTATAAATCTACGAGAAAAGTAAGAAGTATTATTTTCTGAGCGCACAGTCTGAAATGCGCAGATTCAAAAGGTACCTTTTTTAATAAAGCATTCCTCTCTTCACGCTGAGCTACTGAAAAGTATGAGCGGAACCGAAAGCTGTTGCGGAAATAGGTGAAAGCAGAACTTGTCAGGGGAAGAATTGATTTTTTACATAGCATGGTTAATAAAAAAATTTTTTTGAAAATATTTATGATCGATTCCTAAAAGTGGCGTACATCTATTTACGTTAGATGAATACTGACCAGTTACGTGTAAACAATTTTTTGCATGTTTTTAAGATTTTGAGTGACATTTCTCGATAAATACCTGACCAAATTCAATAAATTTTTTTTTTATTTTAATTCTACACATTTGTATAATTAAGATAAAAAAAAAAAACTCATCGAATTTTGTGAGGGGTGTGTCGAGAAAACTTTGCTCAAAGTTTAGCAAGAATCAGTTTCGTCTTAGTAAATAAGTGCTTTTGAATTTTTTAAAACTTTGAGCGAAGTTTTCTCGATACGTACCTGACAAAATTCTATGAATTATTTTTTATTTTAATCCTACACATTCGTAGGATCAAACCAAAAAAAAATTTGTCGAATTTGGTCAGGTGTGCGTCGAAAAAACTTCGCTCAAAGTTTAGAAATAATCTGTTTTGTCTGTTAATAAATTAAGTGCTGAATTTTTTAAAACTTTGAGCGAACAAATTCGATAAAAATTTTTTCATATTAATTCTACGAATGTGTATAATTAAAATAAAAAAAAAATTGATCGAATTTGGTCAGGTGGTTATCGAGAAAACTTCGCTCAAAGTTTAGGATCTGCCCATCTATCAGTAAATTAAGTACATCTTAAACTTTGAGCACAATTTTCTCGATAACCACCTGACCAAATTCGATAAAAATTTTTTTATTTAATTATACATATTTGTAGAATGAAAATAAAAAAATCTTCATCGAATTTGGTCTGGTTGTTATCGATAAACTTTGCTCAAAGTTTAGAAAAAATCTGCCCGCCTATTAGTAAATTAAGGCTTCTGAATTTTTTAAAACTTTGAGCGAGGGTTTTGATAACTACCTGACCAAATTCAATTGATTTTTTTTATTTTATTTCTACACATTCGTAGAATTATAATAGAAAAAATTTCATCGAATTTGGTCGAATGTATGTCGAGAAAACTTCGCTCAAAGTTTAGAAAGAATCAATGTGCTTTTGAATTTTTTAAAACTTTGAGCGAAGATTTCTCAATAACCACCTGACCAAATTCGATGAGATTTTTTTTTTTTGGTTTGATCTTATGAATGTGTAGGATTAAAATAAAAAAATTCATCGTATTTGGTCTGGCAGTTATCGAAAAACCTTCACTCAAAGTTTTAAAAAATTTAAAAGCACTTAATTTACTAATAGATGAAATTGATTCTTTCTAAACTTTGAGTTAAGTTGTTTGACACATACTTTACAAAATTCGATAAATATTTTTTTATTTCTTATACAAATGTGTATAATTAAAACAAAAAAATTTTATTGAATTTAGTTTGAAAAAACTTCACTCAAAATCTTAAAAACATGCAAAAAATTGTTTATATGTATCTTAACTCATCATGGATATTCATTTAACACTTTAATGGGTAAATAAATGTATGTGTAAAAGTGCATTGATAGTTATTAATAGCTATTTTTGTAAGGGTGAGTTTAATCTTAATAAGGTAGGGTAGAGAATGATTTACTTGCAATTTAGTTAAGGCTTAATACTTTACTAGATTTGCAGAAGGAGATAGATAGTGTTATAGCAAAAGCACAAGATAAAAAATGCATTATTTACTAAGTTCATAAATTCTAATTAAATACCCTTGGTCGGTTAAACGAACTTCCGCTAATAAAATTTTTCTTTCTGATGTATTAAACTTTCATTACGTGTTTTATTCATTGGAATAATCAATAAAATTGATTCGTTAACCTATTTTTTTACTAATAAAAATTTACCCTCAGACCCGTTCCGACGTGCTAATTAAGGTGCTTGAGAACACCCTTAATAAATTCGAAATTTACACGCAAAAGTAATTGACCATTGATATTAGAGAAGCTAACCCGGCTGATACAGTAAATAGATCGTTATATATGAATTAGCAAAAAAACTTTATTAAACGCCCAATTTATGAGAAAAAAAGAAAATATATGATACAGGTATAAAGTTACAAAAAAAAAAATGAAAATTATTCTATAGTTCAATCTAAATCGATTTTGTTCTTCTAAAAGGCGAACTCGTTCTTCTAAGAGACGAACCTGTTCTTCAGCTTTTCGTCTTAATCGATCGCTAATTAAGTACCAGATATCTTGGCACATGCTTTTATAAGTCAGGTCATTAGATTTTCTTGACGCTAGATGTCCCCCCACTGAAAATTTTTTAAACAAAGCCTCAACACAAACTCCGATATCAAAACAACCTTCTCTAATGACCGTCTTAAACTCATCAATGCATTTTTAGTCTAAATAAAAAATAATTAAGCATTGATATTATAAAGCAAAAATATCCACTATTAATTAAATACCTATGTTTTGATTGAAATAAGCTTTGCACTGTATAGTAATTCTAAAACCACACACTTCGATCATTATGTCTTTTCCACCGTCATTTGGTCCTCCAAATTGAAATTTAATTGAGTACATATTTCATAGTCATATTTAGCTGAAGCCATATTCATCATTAAATCCCCGAGGTTATACGTCTCGGCCGGGATCCTTGAAAACTGAGAAGAACGTTCATGTAATTAAACATGGCCCGATGTGCTTTCGATTCTTCAGATTATTTACATCAAGGTGACAGCGTTCCTTCAGATACATAATGACTCTATAGGATTCCGTAAGAAAGACTTACCCAGTGTGTATGATTTTAATGCCTAATTTTTCGAAACATTTTATTAACAACCAAATGCAGAGCACTTCAAATCCTTCTCCCATTTTTTGTGATGACTCTCCTTCTAGGCGAACGAATTCTGGTATTTCTTCTTCTAGGAGAATGAATTCTGGTATTTCTTGCATTTTCGTTTTTTGAAAGAAAAACGTTTGCGTTAGTATACCTTTTTCGCTGGGAATATTTCATAACTTTTTTTTGTTAGAAAGCATGCTTAAATTACTAAGGTTATTCATCATGAGAAAAAAAACATATCAAAAAACCACTTTAAGAAGGGTTTACTACTCCCCACACTTCTCATTGGACGAATATAAATAACGTTTTCCACTGGACGGAACCAATTACATCACTAATCGAGTTGCTAAAAATTTCGCAATGATTACATATTGATTAAACTTTTTTTTATTTTTAAAATAATTTTTTTCACTAACGTTTTGCTCTTTTGAGTTTTTTTTTTTTTAAATAGTCCTTTACGCTGTTTAATACACGGTTTGTTCTTTTGAGTTTTATATACGATTAAATAAATTTTTGCCAATTTTATCGAATATTACTGTAAAAATTTACTGTATTATGTAAAATTTTTTAATTGAAATAAACATACTTTAGTCATACTGCTATACGAAAATCCGAAAACAAAATAAGTATTAATTCTTTTTGTTTTATTTTGGTTTTGCAGTGTATGAAAATTTACTAATCATTTAGCAACTTAGCAGTAACATTTATTTTCAGTATTACAGTATTACTAATTAGCATCTATAACAGTATTGTATCAGGGTTTCCAAAGCTATTTCCCGAAAGAACACTAATTATTTTCATTTGGGAAAATGGCTTTTGAGAACTTGAGTTACATTATTATTAAAAATAAATCTATTAATTAATACTTTGCCATAGCACTTTATTTATCAGCAGTATTGTATCAGTATCAATAAAAATGTACATGAAACATTCAAATGTTCGTGTCAATTAATTATTTTTTAACAAAGTAAAAAGGAACTTGAAATGTTTTGGTTGTATTTTAAAATTACAAGTCTGTAAACGTAGGTCTCAGCAAAATTTTATTCTCTTGAGAATAAAATACCGAACAAAAATTTTATGAAAATTTTATAAAAACTTTTTTGGTTGTATCAGAAACACTTATTTTGGTTAATGTTTAAAATCCATTCGGGTAGTAAATATATTTTCAAAATTTTGCAGAATTTGACCCGGCCGGGTTATGAGAACCAATTTATTAAGTTTGTATGGCCTAAAATAACTTATTTACAAAAAACCTTCATATATTCACTTTCTATAGGATATAATCAAGAAAGCATTTATAAGTTTTTTTTTTTTTAAAAAAAAAATATTTATTACAGCATTTAAATTGATTTTCAGGCAAATTCGATGTTTTTTTATTTTTTCAATACAACTTACATAAATCATATAAGCTTTTAACAGATATCATTTTAAAGGCTCCTTGTCTTATTTTCACTTTGGCGAAATAACTCTCTCAAAGTCACGTATAAATAGTATCTATGATATCCAATCAAGTCGCGAGCGATCTGGAATACTCAAATAACAAATGAACAGTCATTTAAATGACCTAATGAATTTTATTGGTGAGATTCTAAGATAAGTGTTCAGAATAGACCGGGCTTACTCTACGGGTTTGTGGGCCAGGTCGGGCTTGGACAAGGCCCAATATATGCTGGGTCGAGTTCGGAGGTTTTTTTTCAAAACCTGATTATGTTACTATTAATCTTTGCAAAACACAGTCAAACCTCCCCTCGGGACCACAGAAAAAATGTTCATTTAGAAAGGGTGTGCGTTTATAGAGGGTATTTTCATTATAGCCTAATCTTAACTCATTCCATTAAATTAGACTTATTCCAGTATTTTACTCCGGGTTAAACCTACTCCAACTTGAGTTGGATTCTATTCTGATGTTCTAAAACTACGCTCTACTTGCAGGAACTATAAACTTGGTTTTTGTTACAATCGTTGAATTGACGTAGAAGTGAATGAATGTAAACCATTTGAAAATTATGAAAAAGCAGCTAATATGATAATGCAGGCAGATTTGCATGTGGTGAAAAGGATACGAAAATGTACAGTCAGACTTCTCTAAATGCATCTCCACTAAATGCAACCTTTACCTATGGCCCAAATATGTACTGTACTCTCATAAATGCAATTTTTTTTTTTTTTATCAGTTAAATGCAAGTTATCAAACATCTGATCTCTAAAAGTTGCATCTAAGAGTTTAAAAAGCAAGGTATAGTAACAGAAAATAGTGTTTCATTCGAACTAGACTTGATATACAGATGCTTCGCGACCGGTTTGTCATAATAAGAATATGAGGTGCCAGTAGAAACCAAGCAAATTGTTTTTAAGTAAATTTTTTCAAAACTTTAAAATAAAATATCTCAATAACTATTAAACCAAACTTGATAAAAATTTTTTTATTTTGATTTTATGTAGTCATAGAATTAAAATAAAAAAAAATTTATCAAATTTAGTTTTTTTAGTTGTTGAGATATTTTGATTTAAAATTTTAAAAAAACTCACTAAAAACAATTTGCTTGGTTTCTACTGGCACCTCCATATGTCGATATAATAATGTACGTGAATCATGATCAGTTTCATTTAAATACGACTGAGAATTACATGTACAGATGACCCTGCCAATTTTTTTCAAATATTGTGACTAGAAAAATTTGACATTATACATACTACATAGTTAGAAACTGTTGTTGAAAATATTAAACTTCGCATTTGATAGTTTGAGCGTACAGTATATCCGCCTCTCTTTTAAACAGATTTAAACATTATTATATTTTCTCTATCTTTGGTAACAAATTTTATGCAATAAAAATGTGATTAAATTTAGGAATGACTTACAGGTTTGATGTCTTTAGATTACAATAGTTATAAAGCAGATATAACACTAGCATTAGCTGCATTCTTTTATGACTCCACCACTGTAATGTTTGGTAATTAAGTTTATTTCATCTTACTTTTTTGGCATATAGTGATATTAATTAGAAACTAAAAGTTATAAAAAGTTTTTTTTATTCGATTGTGAATTATTTTTTTTCAAAATTCAAAGATACAAAGTGTATTATTAATAAAATAACAAACTAAACGTTTCTTCACTGTTTGATGAAATGGTCTCAAATACAATTTATTATATATAAGAGGCAGTAATGAAATTTCTGATATTATTAAATAAGTATAAAACTGCAAATTTTGTCATATTGGCGAAGGATTGAGAGCAGGGGTGCCGAAAATTGAATTGCAATTAAATTATTACACAATTAAATTTAATTGACATTGTCCAAACAAACAATTAAATTTAAATTAATTTACAATTAATTGCAATTTTATAATATAAAAGTTATTGTAACAATAATGTAACTAAAATTTCCATTAAAATGAAGGCCCAAATTTTGAAAAATTTTATAATTAAGGGCCAAAATAATTTTGCGTTATAATAATAGTGGTTCTTCGACATTATAACTGTATACGTATATATATTAATTTATACATTTTATACTTTACCTCTCGCTTAATAAACTTTCTTTTAATGAAGAAACAATTCGATTAGGTTAAATACGATTTTGTAATGTAATTTAAAAATAATACTATTATGTTTTTTTTAAAAAAAAAACACGATTGCTCAATTTCTTTATATATGCTTTATTTTTTATTAATTTGATTATAAAAGCTTTTTTTATTTATCTAATCGTAGAAGCTTTTTTTTATTTATCTAATCGTATAGGCTTTTTTTTTTCTTTATTAAAAATCATATATAATAACCTTTTTTTTATCATATTAACAATCATCATTTATCGCAAAAATTGCAATTAATTGTTTAATTGTGGCTGCACCACCAATCAATTAATTGAGATTAAATAATTGCAATTAATTGCCTTCACAATCAATTATTCAGTAGGCCTAATTGAGAGCAAGTGTGTTACTTTTCGAATACCCTGAACCAAAAAAACCTTATAGATTTTTTCCAAGCTCTGAACTAATAACTATGATGCCACACAAATCAAATAGTAAAATGAAATAAGGCCTATTTTTTTTTTTTTAATGTTTGAGTGTATATCATTATGATTATTTCAACACATGAATCAATCAGTTTTTTTTTGGAGGAATTTTTGCTTGAACTTGCCGGTTCTGAATTTGAAGTTTTTCCAATTTCTTTCCTAACTCATTAATTTCATATTGTTGGTTTCAAATTTTATTCAGTTCTTTTTCGCTTAATCTTTGCTTTAAATTATTCTTGGCTCATTCAACCTGCTTATTAACAAATGAACTGTACTGTTCTTGTCCTGTTTCTAAATAAACTTCAAACCATTCCTTTTCTGCATCGCTAACTAGTTTTTTCTTGGCCTGTTTTACTAACTTTTCTAATTCGGCTTTTTTTCCTGGTAATTGCCCTTGTACATAATTAGATTTAAGCTTTATTACTTCCACCAGAACAATATGAAAATCGACCAAATTATCATAATCGTCCAAAGGATCGTCCATAATCATTTTGGTTAATTCGTAAAGTTTTTCCCAGTCAGATATGTTTTTATTTTTTCTACTTTTAAAACTTTCTAGCAATTAATCTCGCGTTTATTTTTAATTATTGGTCATCTCATTAAGCATGATACACCAACTTGATACATTTGAATTAAAATTTAATTACACAAAATTTTAC